GATATGACGCCTTAGCAATCGCTGTCGCACCGGGGATCAAATCGATCTTGAACTCTACCTGCCTCACGGGAGACATATCGGGTAAATCTCTAGAAATACATCTGGAAACTCTCTGACTACTAGAACATCTGAAACCGAGACTCTCCCCTCATACAGAGTATTAACCACGAAGCAAGATAACCCAGACACCCATGCTGAAGATACTGTTGAGCCCTGGCAGCTGAACAAAAGGCCGAACCAACCCTATTACCCTCACGATAATAGTCAGTTCTCCCCCACTTGGGGTTCGAACTACCACTCGTTTCCTCTCAAAATCGGTCATGGCTTCGAATATGCTCAACCATTCCATTCTTATAATCACACACAAACCCCCCATAAGGATGGGAATCAAATCAATCAGACAAGACACCTCAAATATCTCCAAAGTACAATCCCGAGAAACACTCGAAGCATAAACCTTGTGTTCGTTGGCGATGGAAACTCGCAACAGACACTCCATCTCCCCAAGAGTCATATCGAAACCCTTACTGAAAGACTGAGACACAAAGTACTGACTCGCACCCAAGTCAAAAAGCACAAGAGCAGACAAGACATTCACTATGAAGGTACCTATCAAAAATATGAGCATAAGCATACATGAAATAACTGAATAGAAAATAAATGAATACAAACCAGTAACTACGTCAGGCGCCACCCTGACCTCCTCTACTATGAGCTGAAAAACACGACCTCTGGCCTATGGGACCTCAACTCTCCCCTGGTATCCGTCTGTGATCCGAATAGTCGATAGGGTCGGTGCTTGCATGGGCCTAGCAGCAAGTAAAGGAAATTAGCCCTTTATATGGTCCACCTGATCACAATGATAACTAATACGAGCGCTCGACAATGGGGATATGCTGATGTGGCTGGCGACATTCCTTAGCAAAAATGGCCCTGCCTACCATAATTATGGCATCCAGTCGATGATCGACATACACTCTCATGTACCTTCCCACACTTGCCACAAGTACGACCCCGCTGCCCTATGAATCGCGAATTAGCAGGTTTGAACCGCTTTACTGTTGGTTGTGTCTGAACCGGGTTCTACCTATTTTCTCTGGTCTGGGTCTCAATCTCATTCTCTCTCCTCTGATCAAATGACTACAGCTCAAAGAAAGAGCTATATCTTTGGGTCGATAAAAACTCATGGATCTCTGTCTTGAGCGTGCTCAAGTAACGAGACATATGAACCTGATCCGAAGTAACATACTCGGGTCAGAAAATGGCTCTATCTATAAACATCTTAGTGATCTATGTCACCGACTCTGTCTTCTGCTTCAGCGACATATACTCCTGAGCTAACCTCTCCCTCTCAACCAATAAAACGTACTCAATACGGAACATCTCCGTGAACTATTCCCAAGTCGCTACAACCTTCTCCACAAGAGAATAAGCATTAGTCACTATCTTTGACAGGTCCTTTGCCCCCAAACAAAGAAGGTTCAAGGTGAACTTGACCTTCTGGTCCTCTAGGCACGAGAAAGTGAAGAAACAACCCTACACATCAGAGCATTTTTTTCAGATATGTTCTAAGGAAAGGCTTTCCAAACGGTGCTATGGTTAGTGTTTTTAAGATGTTGGTAACGATGGTCAGATCTAAAAATAGGATATGGAAATCTTCAAAAGCACCTGTGAGAATGGTGATGTTGATGAGGTTCAATGTGATGTCCATATCAAATCCGTTACATGAGAGTCGAATTTCGAGGGGTCCGACGAGAATGATGACATGTCCGACGAGAATGTCAGCATGTCCGACAAGAACGTCAACGATTTCTAAGATTCATCAGTGGTGGTGATTGTGGTGTTCCCTTTATGGTAGGGTAGGGTAGGCTGGGGGATGTTTTTTTTTCTATTTTTTTTACTGAAAATAATAAAAAACTAATTAAAAAATTAAAACAAAATTATTTAAGGGCATTTTTGTCATTTAAGGTTGGGTTTGGACCAAAACCATAAAAGATACCAATTATAAAAGATACCAATTATAGAGATAAGAACCACACACCATATTCAAAAATGGATCATTAATGCACCAACAAACCTTTTTGGACCAAAAGGTCCAAAACCAAATAAATTTTGCTAACAATAAGGACCATTTTTGCAATTTTGTCAATTTTATACTCATTATCTTCTTTTTCCACTTCACCTACATATACTCATTATATTCTTTTTCATTTTATCCACAATCATACACGCTATCAAACACTAAAAAACCTATCAATCTCAACTAAAAAACACCACGATGGTATTTTGGATTTGAACAAATGATGCACTTATGTTCAAGTCAAGTAATGGCAATCTTAGGGTTTCATTCAGTTGTGGTCTCACTCCCCCAAGTGTAGAATCTAGGGGTATTGAAAATAAAAGAAACCGAATAACCAAACAGAACCTAATTATGTTTGGTTTAATTGGTTCGGATTATTCGGTTTTTGGTTTGGTTTTTGGTTAAACCGAATATCTAAAATCTTATTTGGTTTGATTTTCGGTTTCTATTTCAACCATTCTGTTAAGCCGAATAAACGGATTAACATTATTATATATATATATATATATATATATATATATATATATATAATATATATATATATAATATGGGAAATGTGAATATACATTACAAGCCTCACCTAAGCTTAGGTACTAAACCTCATGAAAATACGTCGTTTTACTATATAAATATTGCAGTTAGGGATGGTAAAACAATAATGAAGGAAAGAAATGTTATCGATGATGATATATTTACCAAGTGAAAATCAAACTGGATATATTTACTAAGTTAAACCGACATATTTTAGAGGTTTAGTATCTAAGCTTAGGTGGGGCTGTAATGTATATTCCCTATCCCGTATATATATATATATATATATATATATATATATATATATATATATATATATATATATAACTTTCAATATATATATATATATATAGCTTTTTAACTTTCAATATTCATATCCCAAAATATGTTTTCATATTCCAATTAATAGCTTTCTATCCAATACATTATTTGGACATTTGGTTTTGTAAAAGAAAACGTAACAATAAATAAGAATAGAGGATTATTACACCTGTATTTGGATCATGCTAATGTTGTTAAACTTCTTGTATCCTTTTCTGGACCTTTATTCTCATAGGTCTAACATGAGAGTTAAATCAAACATATTACTCACTCATTCACTTTATATATTTTGTCTTGCATCTTAGTTATAACTTACACTACATCAATATACAGCATTTAAACTTATTAAAACTTGTCATCACTCGTGACATTAAATTTTACAAAAACCGTCTAATAACCAAATAATATAAAAATGATAGGTTTTACACTTTTATCCGTGTTTGTTATAAAATATACACTTTACATCCTAACTTTTTGTTATTCGGATTTAACCAAAACCTAACCAACTAAACCGAAAACCAAATAAACCGAACTTTATTCGTTTCGTTTTGGTTAATGTTTAAGAAGTCAAAACTGGTTGAACCGAACCGAATAAATCGAACGAATAATACCCCTAGTGAAATCCTTGCTGACCAGTTAGTTTTCCAATGTAAATAAACCACTTTACGTGTCACATGATACTCCTTGAGATTTTGGTTTGGGGTGATATGGATGAGGTTGTCGAAAATCAACCCGTTAAACTCACACATTGGCGGATCTAAGGCTTTGAGAGTGGGGACAGATGCCCCAATGGGAAAAAAAATTACATACGAATATTTCAAGTATTTAAATTTTAGTTAAAAAGCCCTTTATGTTTTTAAAAATATGCAAAAATACCCCCAACAAAAGAAAAATTAATGGAATCACCACTGAATTCACGAAACATTTTAACATCATCAAAACTCATATTTATTAAAAGTGGGAGAGAGAAATATATTTGCTACCAGCCAAAATCCAAATTCAAAGAAAAGAAATGAAATAAATAAATAAATAAATAAATAAATAAATAAACTGTCTTGTGTATGGGGGAACATATGCTTGATGAGGTCCATTGGTGGGCTCAAAAGTCTTGGTGGAGATTGTTGTATAGGTGGTTGGTGGTAAGTGGTAACATTGATTCTCTAGTTTATACCATAGTGAGCAGTGAAGGTAACATTGATTATTTTAGAGCTTTGTATTTTTTTTTTTGGTTAGAGTTTATGAAATTTTGTATTTTTTATTTGTTGATCCAACTCAATTTGTTTGACACACCAAGTAACCGAAATACAGAAGTATTAAAACAATTTTTACTAAATAATAACCATGTTTTATTGTTGTTAGTCCCACAGTCCACATCGTGAGCTTAATGGTTTAGGTGCCGACATTTCTTATGGAATGTTTGAGGGTTCAAAACCTAACACACTCGAAATATTTAAAATGTTTCACGTTTTAGCCACACCTGATGGGTCTTGAGGCGCATGCAGTGTGGGTCTTGAGGTGCATGCATTGTGGACCGTCTAGATGGTTAAGGTTTACCATTTTATTATGAACTAGTTGTGAGATTTGTATAATATATACAAGTTTATTAAAAAAGTAAAAAAAAAAATATTAAGGTCTAAACATTTAGAAACTTTGAATTGTAAGAAAAATAATTGGGCTTGAATTTAGGAATTTTGAAATTAGAAAAAGTTGTATTAATGAAATTGATATTAATTTATTATTACATTTATTACAATTATTACATTTAAATATTATATGAAATTTAATAAAATAGAAAAAAATCCATAAAATGACACGTAGAAAAAAAATTTAATTTAAAATAATTATAAAATACGATGTGCCAAAATGAATGAGTATTTAACATGTGACAAAAATATTTATTTATTAGAGTAGAGAAGTGTTAAAACACCGAACCACTCTCAAGATGGCTTACTGGTGATCATTTGATATGAAACACTCTAAAATAAAGTTGACACAGGTTCGAATCTCACATACAATTATAAGTTAGTCAACAACAATCAGTCCCCTAAAAATTGTTGTAAGGATCTCTCTACCAATAATCTTGGCAAGAACATTCACCTCTCTTAAAATGATGAAACCTACTTCCATCCCTCACCACAATCTCCCTCTCAAACACTTTCGATAAAACTTTCGTTATCTCATGACAATCTCCACAAACCCTTAAATTCTTCACTATCCGAATGCATTTTCCACTCCCAATTACCAACAAACCAAATGCAATTGCTAACCTCTCACTATGCTCTTTAATCACATTGATCTTTTCTTCCTCTTCTAAATCATGCAAAACTTGTACAACATTAGGCAAATAACCAGCCTCTAAAACCCTAGTGTTCATCCTATCAAGCATTTTGTAAATCTCCATACTCATATCATGTTCTCTATCTCCCGCAACAAATTGATGGATTTTCCCATGTGCTTCTATCAAACTCCATCCAGGAATCTTTTTACTATTTCGACCATTTATCATACCTCGTGTTCTTACAACTTCTTCCCATTTATATGACTTTGCATAAATTTCAGATAATTGTACATAATTCCCATAGTGATTTGGGTCTAATTGGATTAACTTTTTACCAGTTTCTTCACCAAGTTTTATTAATCCATGTGTCCTACAAGCTCCAAGAATTGTTACCCACAAAACAGGGTCTGGTGGGATTGACATCTTTTCAACTAATTCAATGGCTTCAAGTACTAAACCTTTACGACTTAAAAGATCAACCATGCACCCATAATGCTCCATTTCAGGGTCAATGTTGTACTTTTCCATCATTAGTTTGAAATAATGGCAACCTTTGTCGACTAATCCTGCTTTACTACATGCACTTAATACTCCTATGAAGGTCACATTGACAGGTGTAAGTCCTTTGGTTAAAAACTTTTCAAAAAGATCAATGGCTTCCATGGCTAGTCCATGTATGGCTAATCCACATATCATGACATTCCATGATGAAAGATCTTTTATTGCCATTTTGTTGAACAAGTTTCTAGCTTTATCGATGTACCCACATTTAGCATACATGTCAATGAGGCCAGTCTGAATGTGAATTGTCATTGGGAAATTTAATGAATCTATAGTTGAATGAATCATTCTACCTTTTTCAATCAACCCCAATTGAGCGCATGCTGAAAGAACCATCACTAGAATGGATTCGTTAGGTGACAATTGAAGATCCATCATTCTTTTGAAAGAGTCTAATGCTTGTTCTAAGTATCCATTCTGCACGTAACCTGTTATCAATGAGCTCCATGATATAACGTCTCTCTCAGGCATTTCATCGAACATCTTCTCTACATTGTCTATATGTCCAGCCTTTGCGTACCCTGCTATCATTACGTTCCATGTAACAAGATCTCGACAAGCTGGGCTCTCATCAAACAAATCTTTCGCGAGTTTAGTCTCATGAGAAGTGAAATACAAATGAATCAGTGCGTTTCTAATATACACGTTAACAAAAAACCCAAGCTTTATGACATGAGCTTGGATCTGAGTCCCTTCGATAATTCCCATAAACTTACTACAAGCTTGAAATAAAAAGGGAAAGGTATAGTTGTTAGGCTGAAAATGCGCATTTTTACACATGAAGGAGTAGAGGGAGAGAGCTTGGTGAGGGGATTCGCTCTTGGCGAAGCATCGGATTAGGTTATTGATAGCAAAAAGAGACGGGTTTTGAGTTGAATTGAGAATCGAAAGAGAATACTGCAATGGGGTTGATTGCGACTGAGCTAAAGCGGCAAGGAGTTGGCCTGTGAAATGGCTGTCGCCGTCATACCCGGCGGCGATGAGGCGGGCATGGAGTTGTTTAATTCGGTGGAGGGAAGGGTTCGTTGGGAGTGATAAATAGTGGAAAGTGGAAGTTATAGGCGTTGGAAATTGTTTGAAGAGGGAAATCGGCGATTTTAGTATGCCAATGGACATTAAAGAAGAGAAACTTGAAACAGATTTCTCCCTAGAAGATGTAGTGCAAACATTTTTTTTATTATATTGGGTTATGGGTTGTTCATATGTCTCGGTTAGATCGATTAGATTAAAGGCTATGTTTGATATAGTCAGACGTTGACTTTCAGTAGATTAAGACTATGTTTGATACTCAATCAAGTTTTAATCAATCCGAACTATTAAATAAAATTAGAAAACAAATTTTTATCTATTGCCACCAACCAACTTGCCGACTCACCAAACTCCTCTATAAACAAATAAATAAACGTCACATTTAATAAATAAGGCTCTTTTAATGAACTAAAATAAAGTAACTGAAAGCCAACAAGTAATAAAATATAATATCATTTGTCTGAGTATGCAATCATCGATCATCAATAATTGAAACATCACAACGTATTATTCATAAAGATTAAAGATTTCAAATTTCACATATGTTGCATAAATATAGTCGTACATTCAACAGTACACAAATTAGAGTCAAAACGTACTTTGCACACTTTGAAATTACATAAATAGGACATAAAATAAACAGTACTTATACATTTATTACTTTTCCAACTCGCACCTTAAAGAAAAGAAGAAAAAAAGAACTTAAAAACAACACAAAACACAGTCGAAAGTTCAAACACTAGAAACATAAAACACCAAATCTATAAATTAAACCCAAAGAGATCTATCTCATCTCTCTTTCTATGTTCTCTCAGAAGTCGAACACCCACCATGATTATTATTATTATCCAAAAAACGAACCACAACTATCGTAATATTATCAGCACTACCCCTCTGTGAAGCCTCCATCATCAACCTATTCGCTGCCTCTTCAGGGCTCTCAATCGGTTTCACCATAGCCACAGCTTCATCATTTGTCACAACATCCCAAAGTCCATCACTCGCCAAAATCAAAAACTCAAGCGAATTGTCAACTTTCTCCTCTTGAATCTCCGGATCCGCCACCACGTATTGTTTTAAGAGTTTATCACCAAACGCCCGCGACACTGCGAGCACCCCACCCACACGCCATGTCCCCGCCCACATCACGAACCCCCCCGCATCCTCGATGCGCTGGCGTTCGTCGGTTTGGTCGGGCTTGTGGTCCCGAGAAACCGCGAACGCCTTCCCGCCGCGGGAAATAACCGCGCGGGAATCGCCCACGTTGGCGACCAGTAACCGGTCGCCAACGAGGATGGCCGTGGACGCGGTGGACCCCGCGTCACGGTTCTGGTTGTTTTCGGATTTGAGAAACTCAGTATCCGTGTGGGAGTAGGCTTCCGCTATGGCGGCTTTGGTGTCGGAGATGAATTTCGGGTGTTTGATTAGGTTGGTGAAGAGGTGTTGTTTCACGTATTCTGCCGCCCGTGCGCCGCCATGTCCGTCGAAGACGCCGAAGAGACCGACGGTTTCGCCGTCAACGCCGTCGATTCTTGCCTCGTAGAAATCTTCCATTGATGAGCGCTTTCCGGGTGAGCTGGCGAATCCGTAGCTGAATTTTGAGTCTTGGCTTAAACCGCCGCCACTCACCGGTGACTCACCGTTGGGTTGACCCGCGATGGCGGATGATACGGATGAATTGAGGTATCCCATGTTGAGTTTCAAATCAAATTTCCTACAAAAGTGATGCAAAATAAAATCGAGTTAATACATTTATGTAGTTTCTGCAACCTGGTTATTCTTTCAGCAACCCGAAACTAGTCTACACTGTCCTAAAAGCATCATGTTAGATATAAATCAAATACAAGTAAAGTGTCCAGAGAAAGCTCAATCCACATTTAAACTCAAACTGATACACTACAAAAATTGACTATTTCTGCAAGTATTTCCGATCCCCAAATTGGTAGTGAATTCAATAGGAATAACCGAAAGAAAATGAATTCTACATCGAATGATTTAAATTTTGACCTTGAAATTTGATCAAACGCTAAGAATATAAACCAAAAAGATGTTAAGATCAAACAGCGTATTATCTTTGCATTTCTGGAAGAACAGGATATGAAATCATAAGTCAACCAAAGGGCATCTTATGATTAATTTTTATACTTAGAAAAAAAGGAGTATCTAAAATTGATGATGAAACATGAAAATGATAAACACGATTTGGATCAAAATTTTGACTCTTGGTCAAAATTAGGTTTTTGGATGTATTCAAGATAATTAAAGCTCCTCGTAACAACAAATCGACAACGATACGACAGATTTTGTTTCTATAAACCGACTTAGTATGCAAATTCAACGAACGAGCTTAAGATTACGGATAAAACTTCAGAAATTACCAATTCTGAGATCACGCAACTTCGTTCGTTGATTAATCAAGAGTGAATCTGAAAAAAAAAAAAGATCGGAAATTTATAAGATCAGAATAAAAAACAATAACAACAATATATGTATATATAGATAGAAATTTCTCACCTGGTAGCACCAAACGCGGTTGAGATCTGATCCTAACAATCGAAGTGAAGATGATTGATTAGATTCAAGAAGATCCAAGAAATATCTCTGGAGCTAGGTCAAAAAGTTGACATTTTGACTTTTGCATTTGCTCGTCTTCTCATAAACGGGGCACCAATCCAAGATCCACTATATACTCTCAAATGAACATTTGCCCCCTTCATCTTCAACAATTGTTTTGATTAGACCTTGTAGTTTTCATAAATTTTAAATAAGCATAAGGACTGTGTTTTCTTTTCATCATTACTATTTAATTGTGTGCATGGAAGTTTACCGAATTATAAAAACATTTCTTGAAGCATCTTGCCAGTATTCGGCAAAAATCCTAGAGGTCTTGATGGCTAGATTTGTTAAGTCTAACGATTGAACAATATGATTTTCATGATCAAACGATCGTTGGTTGTATACAGAGACCAGTGACGGAGCTTGAAGTTATGATTTGGGGGCCGAAAATAAAATACATATAAAAATTGAAGAACAAGGGGGCCAAAGTCAAATTTTATAGTTTTTGGCATAATATATAACCTTTTCAATATTTATGGACTATATATAAAAAAAAAATTAGGGGGGGCCACAGCCCCCTGGCCCTATATATGCTCCGTCCATGACTGAGACATAAAGATTTGTATTGTCTTTTATAGTTTAATAGTATTGTTTTTCAGGTTTAACAACATGAGAAGATAACAAATATCAAATCTCGTTAGGTTTTACGATAGAAATTAACTCTCTTGATAACTTATACTATAGAAACCTTAATCCTGAGAAGTTTGAGACTCCGTTTATATATCTTTGTTTTTACTTAAATGAATGTCTTAAAGAATTTTATGTTCTTTTTAGAATTCTTAAAAATCTTCATGTATTTAACGTTTTTAACCTTGCATTTAAAATGTAGGAATTAAAATAATATAAGTTGTTGAAATGCTTCAATAAAGCACTAAACAAGTAATGTTGGTAACAAGATGATATGAGATCGGTACAAGTGTATAGGATAAAAAAAGAGCCAATATGGTCTACAATTAATACTTAGCTATTTTAACATATCAAATAAGATTGTTTTGGTAAATATGATTTAAAATTGTAACTTTCTTGTGTAATCATAACTCATCAACCATGTAGACATTGTAGAATGTTGTGGAACGCAATTCACATGTACATGCTACAATTCAAATGATTGTTCTAAACAATTTGAGTTATACACTAACCAACCTCTCGAATGCTTTTATGGCATCCAAACTCCAACTACAATTAATGCAAGAATTAGGAAAGAGAGTTGCTAGAAATGGTTAGTAGTTTTAAAATACACTTTGTAAAAAATCAAACGGATATATTAGTAAATTCATAAAGGTTTGATGGGTGAAGTGTAACCGAGATTCGCAACAACATGATGATTCATGGTTTGAACGTACAATGACAAGTCAACATGCCCTATAAATATGCATTTTAAATGTTTTATCTTTTTTTTTTTAAAAAAAAAAGGTAATTACTATCTTTTAGGTTTTCTCGAAAAGAGGTTTTGTGATATACTTTTTCTTTATGTAGGCCTCTCAATATGGTTACAAATTTCCGTTGCCTTAAATTGTTATAACCTTTTGACTTTATGGCAATTGAATCACGTCATATATGCTTGTTTTTCACAAATAAATATTCAAAGAAACAATTATATTATAGTCTATTTTTGAATATGAAGTGTTTCACAAAAATGCACATTTTGAACGGTAAATCATATCTTATGTATTATAGTAACTCTTTGAATTCGGCAGTCCTAGTCACTGTACCATGAACTAAACTTAGACATTAAATAGAAACGAAAGAGGGTGATGCTTGACACTTTTTAACGAATGGTAAACCTCTGACATGAGTTGGTAGTTTAAGGTCCAAAACCCCAACCATTGAACTTATGGATTAAATTTGACAATATGTAAATACTTTTGGGTTTTATTAGTCATTTTCCTAACAAACTTTATTCTACCAATTTTTTTTATCGTCCTTTACGCTTGCACTCCTCCCGGCAAGTTCCAGGAAGACGCTATCAGGACTGACTTTTAAGGGGATTTGTTTTGGTAGACTAAATTATAGAAATGATCTTCCAACTATTAACTACATAACTACATGTAGATTTCGTCCCTTACTCTTTTAGGAATATATACATCAGGCAAATGTGTCAGTGTAAAGACATTAAATGGGTTGAGAGGGGTTGTTGAGTTTAACCTGACCCGTTTAATTATCGTATCGTGTCAAACTATTTATTTTCGTATTGATTTTGTATCGGGTTTTGGGTTAAGGTTTAGACATTGTAAAGTTGTAAATATATTGTGTCATGTTGAGTTGAAACATTTTAAAGGTTGGAAAGTAGGAGACGAGAAAGAGAAAAGAAAAAAAGTAAAATACTGCGTTCGGAGGTGGAATGACAAAATTCATAATAAGTTTAGAAGACAAAATGAAAAATGTTAGAGATGGAGAGCAAAAGTAATATGTGGTGAGGAATAAAATTAAATCACTTTGAAAGTTTGAATTTTAATTTTAATTTTTAAGTTTGACCAACTACATGTCTATAATATATAATATATTTATAAAAAATGTATAAAAAAAATGAAATATAATTAAACCGGTCATATTCGAGTTGAAAGTTTTGACCTTAACTCAACCAATTTAATTTACGTATTGTATCGTGTTAACCCGTTAATATCTTACTCAAACCCGCTAAATGAGTTATCGTATCGTGTTAAATTTTGTCAGGTCTAACAAAAAAATAAAAATTGTTATTAGTTTTAACTTATTTGTGTATTATACATTTTATTTTCATTTTTTCTGTAACAATAAAATTTCTCCCCTTATGATACATTTTAACTTTTTTTTTTTACCATAATCAATGTATTGTCCTCTTCTTTTACCTACATTATAATTTAAATTAGTAACTTTTTTATATGTATATTATATTGCTATAATTTAATATATTTTTCAAAATATTATATTTTAATAATTTTAATAAACATGTAAATAAAAGTACATCGTGTATTGAGTATTCAACACACTTTTTTAAAGCTGAGCGATTTATGTTATAATCACTTGTAATGTACAGTGGTGGACATGGTACGATGCTAATTTTTTTTCTAAACTATATACCGTACTAACTATAATTAGTATAAATTTTTTCCTACAAATACATACCAAATATAATTGGTACCCAGTGGCGGCCCTAGGGTCGTGCCGTCGTACGGGAGCTCCAATCTTAAGTGGCCTCCGATTGAGAAATTTCTTTAATATTATATAACTAACTCAAATTTTGAAAATGTATTTGGCTATAATGTCAATTTAAGTATATGAAAAGGATCACGATTTTAGTTTTGAGGGATGCAACAATAGTTAAATTATTAGTTCAATAGGATATATTATAAAAAAAGCACCAAAATGTCATCATAACGAAGAGTCCGCTCAGTGGAGTAAAATGTATTTGAAAATAATACTATAAAATTCGATAATGATAATGTTCAATCTTTGAAAAAAAAAACATAATGAATGTATTATCATTTTTTTGATAGAATTTTGATTTGTGATCAAGTAGTGGACTTTTTTTGTCTGTAAGAAATTTTCTTAAGACAAAATTACAAAAATGGTCCCTTTGGTTTGCCAAAAGTCACAAAGTCAGTCTCTGCTAATTTTTTTTGATGCAAATGGCCCTTGTGGTTTGTAAAACTTGCAAAGTTGGCCATTTTTACTAACACCGTTAGTAAAACGCCGTTAGGGACTGAATCTGTAAGGGTATTTTCGTCTTTTCAAGTATAAAGGGACTGAATTTGTGACATTTGACAAACCATATGGACATAATATTGTTATTTGTCAAATGTCACGAATTCAGTCTTTTTATACTTGAAAAGATGAAAATGCCCATACAGATTCAGTCCCTAACGGCGTTTTACTAACAGTGTTAGTAAAAAGGGCGAACTTTGCAAGTTTTACAAACCACAAGGACCATTTGCATCAAAAAAAATTAGCAGGGACTGACTTTGTGACTTTTGGCAAACCACAGTGACCATTTTTGTAATTTTGTCTTTTCTTAATAATATTTTACAAGAAATATATTGTGACAGTCGTCAAAATTCGAGTCGGTTTTAGATTTGACTAAACTTAGTTGCACATAT